CCCCCCCCTTTCTTCCTGCTTTTATTGAATTCTCTTTACTTTAAATTGTAGTCGAGCGCCAGCGCCTGGGTCAGAGAAGCAGCATCTCCTCCAGGCCGGAAGGGGCGGGCTTCTGGCGCGAAGTTCCGAGGCCGCCCCGTCTGGGGAGCCCAAAAATCTCGCGGAGGTTTTTACGGAGGATCCGGGTACCCTAATTCTGGGTGGATAGCGCGGTTCTTGACGACAGGCAGAGCTCCGGACCATCAGCCCAGAGGAGGAAGGATCGGGCAACCACCAGGCGAGAAAGTCAGTCTCCGACCTGCAAGTGCTGTTCGTGGTCCCGGGCAGGCTTCCTCGAAATGTGCCCCTTTCGTGACGCAAACGCACCCCAACGGTAGGAATAAGAATTCAGGACCCAGAAAGGAAAGTCTGAATTACCTCTCCGAAGACGAGGTGGCCGAGTGGTTAAGGCGATGGACTGCTAATCCATTGTGCTCTGCACGCGTGGGTTCGAATCCCATCCTCGTCGGCTTGGGAGTCGCGGCTTAAGCTGAGTTTTGTAGCCTCAAAACTAGGTCGTGTCTTCTCTTACCGTCAGTCTTCCCTGTTCACTTTCCGTGTCTCCCCCAGCCACTTCCCTCGCCGGTTCTTCTACGTTTTCCAGTATGTCGAAGTTTTATAGGACGTTTTGATATTCACTCACCTACCGTGAACCTGACCTGGCCAAGGAAATAAGGCAACAGGAAGCCCCCGGTAGGCGCCGTGGCTTAGTTGGTTAAAGCGCCTGTCTAGTAAACAGGAGATCCTGGGTTCGAATCCCAGCGGTGCCTCCGGAGTTTGTTCTGCTTTTGCAAAACACTTAGACGTTTAAAGGAGAGTTGCAGGACCTCGTGGGCTCCGGCCCTTATAATTTGTCACGTATCCGTCTATACTCTCGGATGGATCTGCCGCGCGCTCTCAGGCATTCACCAGCAACCAAGCACCAGAGTGGTATCGTCGGTTCTTTTCGGTATTACGGCTTGACTGTAACTTGCCTAAGTGCTCATCTAGTCTGTTTTTGTATTTCATTTTAATCTCTCGTAAAGCAGTCCTATCGTTAAAGGATTTCTCCGAGACAGGAATGAGTCATAATCTAACTTTACATTGCCTCATTACAACCTATAAACGTCAGCTGGCCGGTTAGCTCAGTTGGTTAGAGCGTGGTGCTAATAACGCCAAGGTCGCGGGTTCGATCCCCGTACGGGCCAGTAGTCTGTGCCTTTTGAACACTGGGCTTCCGACGTTTTAGTCTGTTCTAAAGACAAACAATATAACTGGAGGAAAGCTGGCGGAGCAATATTTGCAATCCCTGGACATTTCACACCCAAACAAGAAATGTATTGGAGCTCAGTTTAAAGTAGGAGTGCGGTGAGGAAGACGGCTTTAGAGAAAGCAGATTTTTGTGATTTCTATTTCTAAATATTATGACCATAACATGCGGCTCCTGAACTTACTAAATTTACTTAAACAAATAAAAATAAAAAGGCTGCCAAGGGTTGGGACACGTTTGTTTCAAACCATTACATGTGTCATTGATCAGCAGTGTTGGAAATAGTCAGGAATAGAGCTGGCAAGTGTTCCCAGTCTTCCTCCAGAGCTAAAATGTCCAATCCACCCAGTCCCTGCCTGTCCAGCAGGATCTGAAAAGACAATCCCTTCCCTTCCTCTTCTTAGTACCTCGCTTGCGTTTTTGCTGTTGCTGGATACTTGGACCCCTGTGACTGATTATGTGTCTCCCATTTTCCCTTCACATCGGCTAAGAGCAGGAACCATATTCTTCCCCATTTAGCCTGGGACCTCACCCCCACCGGACTCCCAGCAATGACCCCCAGGGAGATGCATGAACAAGATCAACCCTTATCCCCATTCCTTTGACTTCTCAATCACTGCAACCCCACACAGACGCAGCCTCAGCCTTGGCAGCAGCAGCACTTTAATTCCACAAAAACTCAGAAAGCCAAAACTGATTAGAACACTCCACAACAGGTGGGCTTCAAAACCAGCAACATTCTACCGGAACCCTGAGAGCAGTGAGACACCTCCCACATCACCACCTCCACCACGCAATGCATTCCTCCTAGCTCCACCCCGTACTGGCTGGGGAAGTAGTGTGGTAGAGGGCCAGAGGGCGGAAGCAGGAGGTTTTCCACCTACAGTGTGCATTCTTGCCTCGTGGTGTTCAGACAAGAGCCACTCAAGCTCCCACAGCCCCTGGCACCTGAGATGTGACCACTAAAGTCACGATGGCCACAGTGGGGGCTGGGGCCTCCTCTCTTCCCTTCTGATCCCACATATGGGAATCATGTCCTCACCTTCAAGGGACCCTTAAAGCTCCAGGTTCCCAGGGATGGTGCTCTAGCTAGGGAAGAGAGCTGGGAAGAACAGGGTAGCTACAGATGGCCAACAGAATAGAAGCAGAGCAATATCCCTTCCCACCAGAAGAGCTGTTAGAACGTCCCCATATACACGTGCCTAAGCCCCAGCAAGTGGGCAGGGGCCAGACAAACGCATCTGGAAGAGCTTCCAACACACAGGCCTCCCCTCAGCGGGCAGTTCCCACTAGGGCTCCTTGGAGTCCTTAGGGTCCTGCTGGGTCCTGCCCTGGCCAGACCCGGCCTCCCCTGTCCTCCTGGTCACTTGCACAGGGCTTCCAACACCTCCAGAGTGCGTCGGATATCCCGGACTTGGCGCGCCAGCCCCTGAACCGGCTGCAGAGCCCGCTCCAGCTCCTCGCAGCGCGCCAGCAGGGTGTACATGCCCTTGATGCTCATGTCCACGGCTTCACCTAGGGAGTCTACGGCGTCGCGGTAGGTCTGGATGCAGCCCACACTCAGCGCTGTCAACTCCTGCACCGCGCCACCCAACCCGCGAAGCAGACGGTCCACCCGGCCGCCCAGCTCCCGAGTCAGCCGCTCCAGATCCCGCAGCACGTCGGGGTCGATGGGTGGGATGGCCGGCGTCAGCGTGGGTGCTGGCGCTGGGCAGGGCCGCGCAGGGGCAGGGGGCAGCGGCGGAGGGGCGCCGCTCAGACGGATCTTGAGCTGCAAGTTGTTGGCGACAAAGTGAGTGAGGTCGCCGTGGCGACTCACTGTGCCCTCGAGCTCTAGGGGGCTGGAGATGGTGGCGCGGCGCCCGCCGCCGGCGCCGGACTCGGCACCCCCTGCGGACCCGGCGCCACCGCACGCCCCGCTCAGCCCGTCCAGGCTGCGACTGTCCTGAAGGCGACTGGAGGTGGAGCGGCCCGCTCGGCCGGCCGCCGCCGCCTCCTCGTCGTCGTCGTCCTCCTCCTGCCGCTCAGTACTCATCCCGCCGCCCTCCCGGCTTCCTCGACGGCAGGTCCTCTCGGAGGCGGACTCGTCCTCGGGAGGCTCAGGGCCCTTGTGCCGGGCGGACAGGGGCG